TAACAGGAAACTGTTAACGGTTAAGTCTCGCTCTGAAATCTCATGAGAGGCGAGCTGTTGCATGAAGATGACGGAGGAAATGTGAGTTGGAGAGGATTTGTTGCACTGGAGTAACGTTAATAATGGAAATAAAGTCTTGCTAGCAGCTCCTACACAACAAAGAGGGGGCTGAACTTGTATATAGCCTTTTTAACAACAATGAATGAGGTAAATGACTGATGGATGAACAGATAGGGGTGTGTGTGTGTGTGTGTGTGTGTGTGTGTGTGTGTGTGTGTGTGTGTGTGTCTTTAATTGCACTCAGAAGCAGCCTGTAAAATAGATGGCTATCATGTGATAGTGATCTCGGGACACCGAGGAATGTTTCTGCTCACTAAACTGGTGACCCACTGGCCTGCGTTTGTTCCTGTGTGTGTGTGTGTGTGTGTGTGTGTAAGAGAGTGAGAGAGGGCTGCACAGAAACACTGCACAATCCCCCTGGTCAAAGTGGCAGTTTACTCAGCAACACTACTCATGGTGTTTATTTCAGTCTGAGTTTGATCTATGTTTATACCGTGTGTGTGTGTCTCCTGCAGGTTTTGGCTTGCTGCCGTCCTACCTCACTCTTCTGACGCTAAGCAGCTTTAGCTTGATCACCATCTGTTCAACCAGTCTGTGTTTGTGCACAAAGACTGCCTCACACTCCTCACCCATTCTCTCTCACACACACACACACACACTTGAGCAGCACTGCTTGTGTTCAGACCCCAGCGAGCGGTGGTGTTTTGTTTAGCTGTGAAATGGGTGCTTTCACGTTACCACTGAGGTTGTGCTGAGTGTAATTTGCTGTGGGATGGGTAATTCACAGAAGGCAGCAGGTAGTGGTTGTGTCTGTGCTGTGTGTGTGTGTGTGTGTGTGTGTGTTTGTTCGAGTTAAAAGCTGCTCCGCTGGTGAACCCAGCTAACTGCTGTGTTTCCCTGTTCACCCATAGGACAGACGTGACAGTATTGAAAGAAATGAAAAGCCACAGAAACACAGGGAAGTAAAAGTGTGGTATACTCTTTCAGACATAATTGTTTTTTATTCACTCCACTTCACAGACCCATTGAAACTATGACCACGTTTTCTGAATATGTGTGTGATCTGGGTCATCTTGATAGATGCCGTCATCAGAGCTGGAGTTGGTAGCATTGTAACCAAGGTAACAGACAACAGATGTTTTACTTTGGTTCTCCTGTCTAGGGCTGGGAATCAATATTCAAACACTTTTAGTACCAATTAAAAAAGTATTAAGTACCACATTCATAACATTCACAAACATCTATCTTGTTTCCTTTATTCCTTGATATTGAAATATAAGATTACCAAAACACCAAAAGCCCAAGAGCACATAGGTCACACATGGAAAGAAGCACAGCACCTGATCCGACAATGCAGCTAACTAGGATGCTACATCTGAATGTAAATAAATATACATTTTCTAACCTGCTATCCTCTCTGATATTTATTTGCCATGCTTCAGATGTTTTATCTGGTAAAATTGTAGTGCAGAGTTACATAATTTGTGAATTCAGAGACACAAAATGAATTTCCTCCATTCCTCCCTACTGTGATTGTGGAGGTCAGCTGCCGTGTGCTGCAAAACCTGATGGAAAATCAGCATTGTGCATGCTGCTGTGGCACTATTGGTCTTACTTTGTTTCAATATCACTGTGGCTGTGCAGTTAATAGACTTTTATTTTCAAATACGATTTTGGTTTCCTAAGATTATGAAAATAAAATTATCAAAATAAAATGAGTAGTGTTCCGCAGTGCGTTTCGAGATGATGCTCTCGTTCTGTCTTGTGTTCCCTTTCCTTTACACCGGTGGCTCGCAACTCAACCTAACAGCCCAAACTCCGTCTCAACAGGCTGTGGCAAGTTTAGGTCAGCTCTAGTCAAGATGACGACGGTTACAACTGCTAAACTTGTTAGTCAGGATTATTATCTTAAGCCTACAGCATTTTACACTGCATTCATTAGCCTTCCCTCTACTCATAGCTTATTAACCCTGCTGTTAGCCTAATGTTGGATTTCTTAAGTCATGGGCTATTTGGGATTTTTGGGGTAATGCATGTAACAATAAAAAAAAAAAAGCATGTAATAATTCTAAAATTAAGTAAATGTGTGATGTTTCATATTTCAGTGATTAATCGTGTTAAATAATCATGATCTCAATATTGACTAAAGTAATTGTGATTATGATTTTTGCCATAATCGAGCAGCCCTAAAAATCAGTACAGAAACTCAGCTGATACCATGCTATTCTGATACCTATCAAAATTTTTCAAACAATTTCCAGCCTCGTGCCTGTCCTATATTAAAGACACACACATACTTTACACTTATCTCATGGCCTGTTTATCCAGATCATTAAAGCTCATCATCAATTTCCACAAATTCCACAAATTTCCACAGCTAAAGTATGCTTTCCTACATATTAATTTGTCACATCACAGTACATGCCTGCTTACCTATACCAGGGTGTTTCCCTGCATTTAACCCAGTGCATGCTGGGATATGTTTCAACAATGTATAGGACATAGACGGATGGGATGATATGCCTGCTGCTGCCAGCATGTTTGTCTTTGTTTCTGTTCTTCGAAAAGAGCCGTTGCTTCAGTTATCTCTGTCTGCACCAGCTCACCTCCCTCCTCCCTGCTCCTGAACGTCATCTTCCCAACATATAAATACATTTTTCTCACACACGTGTATCAGCACTCATTATTCCACAGTATGAACAGGTCAGTTCAAGCCCCTGGTTTGTTCATTCTAACCCGCAGCCCTTGACTGGTAGGCCTCTGTTTATCCCGTTGACTGAATGGGATGATGCACTCACTCCACAGGAGGGATGATTCAATATGTGAACTCTCCAACCTCAGCAAAGAGATCCAAAGTGCAGTCCTGGCTTCTCTGCATGCAGCGATGTGCTGCTTCACACAGTGTTGTGCAGGAAACAAGCATAACCCACGCTCAGACTCTGTGTGCTCTTCTTACTTTTGCCTCTTGGGTTAAAATTTTAACATAATTTTGATGCATCCAGAAGTGGAGGAGCTGTAGTAAAGAGAGAAGGGTAGTAGTGCATTTACTTGGTTTACTCCACTTTCCATCAGGGATTGGCAAAGTAATTATCTGTTGGCTTTCTGTGAGTGTGTTACACCTCCCACTTATCTCCTTTGAACATCAATGGGATTATTTTTATATGATTTTGTCTATATTTTGTCAGCTGGGGATGCAACGATCCAAAACTGATATTGGATATTGGCCTGATACTGACTCAAATAGCTGGATTGTTGTATCGGTGACAAGGGGGACAGTCCATACAATTGCTCTTGGTATATGTTCGTCGTCAATAACTACCGCTGTCAATATTGTACATACACATCACACAAATTACAAAATGTTACACGTGTGTAAGTTAGGCTGTATGAATTGATCTTAGTTGAATTGAAGTTTATGTACTACGACAGTGTTTCCCAACCCTTTCCTGGAGAAAGTTCCCCCCTGTCCTGCATGATTTACTCTGTCCCTGCTTCAACACAGCTGATTCATAACGAGTTGATAGTTTGAATCAGCTGTTTTGGAGCAGTGAGATATTTAACTCACACGGTGATTTAAACAGTTATCCTCATAAAGATATTACTCCTCACCACAGCCACTGTTGGCATATCCTAATTTGCGTGATTTAGATGTAGAAATATTGATAGTGGTAGATATGTTGATGGAACATGCCAAGACCCATGCATTCAGACTTTTAAAAAATATTTTGGATGATGCAAATCAGTCACTGCTGCCAACTCCTTTTCTAACTGTGTAATCTGTGTGTGTACAGTGAATAAATTAAAGTATTATTACAGTAGGCTATTGTCTCCATTCATTTTTAAAAAGTGGATATTTACAAAATTATTGATACAGGTATACATGTATTGCATGTGTGTTCATTTTTACGGATTGCACAGTTTGATAGTCCATATAGTCCAGCAGGGTTCTAGTTACGGTCTGAGCTCTTAATCATGCATCTGTGGGGGTCAGTAATTAATTTACTAACAACAATTATTTTCAATGACAAATGTACAATATATTAATAAGATAAACACAAAGACGTTTTCCAAACGAACTCTGCTGTGCACCGCCTGAATGTCATTACAACATGATTAATAGTTAATATGATACCATAAAGGGCGGATTTGCGGTCTCTCATTGAGCAGTAGTCTTTGTTGGTTTGTTTCAGGCTTTAAAAACTTGAACTTAGTTGCAGTATCACACACATCTGGGGCAAGTGGGCTGCTGTGTGTGAGAGAAAGTGTTGACCACGTAATGAGCAATGAAGTCTGTCCAGGCTTCTATTATTTATTTATTAATCCCCGCTGGTAACGTCCGTTATACACTAAAGATCCCCACGAAGCTCAAATTGTAGTCCAGTTTCCACAGTTGTCCGTTTTTCCTATTAAATTCAGCTGATAGCAGTAAAATGCCATAGTATATTACTCTTCAAAAGGAAATTATGAATGAGAAGTGTGTGGGTTTCTTTTAAGATGACTGGAAGAGAGGCTAAGTTACACTCTTAATCAACGACAATGTTTTTCTGTGAATGGATGTGGCTAGCTGTATGGACAGAGTTAACGTCATATTTTGACAGAATAAATAAATAGTGCCTGTAAAAAAAGATACTGTTACTAGTTAAATGATTGAAGTGATATACAGTGGGCTTTGTTGCTACATTGGCACGTTAAGTGCTAAGTAGAATAGGCTCAAATCAATATGCTATATTTAAGGAATTAGCCTGCTAGTTTCCCGTTACAATGTTGACTAAATAATTAAATATAAATCAACGACAAAAACCCTCCCCCTATGTCTACGTGATTAAACTTTATAATTTTTGAATGCGTTTCCTGTCAAATCGCACGCTTTTATTTTGTAGTTTTTGCATGTATTTCCTGTCCTGACCGGCCTGACAGTGGAGGTCTGCAGTTGGACCCTCATGGACAAAGTTGGCAACCAGTTGTTAAACCTAGTGGACCATTTAGCAGCTAAAGAGCCGGACATGTCCCTCAGGACTGGGAGACTAAAAACTGAGCTAACAGAGAGTGAATTCTGGACTGATAAGGTGGGCAGAAACACGGCTCCAAATGCTGATGTTGCTCCGTATCTGCTGGATGTGTAAATAAGCAACTGTTTGCTAACTAGTTCCCCATGTAAGGTGATAATGTGTTCTGTTAACAGCGTGTTGAAGCTGCCCCCAATAGGCTGGGGGAAAAATCAGTTGATTCAGGCTTAACAGTGGTTAGTAAGAACATGTACAACAGCATGTTAAATGTGTTGTTTTTTTTCCCCATCTGTGTTGTTCAGGGGTCCCTTCAGCGTGGTGAGAAGATGCATCAACAGAGACACGGGGCAGCAGTTTGCTGTCAAAATCGTGGATGTGGCCCAGTTCACCTCCAGTCCTGGACTCAGTACAGAGGGTAAGAGCTCGCGATCTCTCACTGCATCTCGCTGTTAATGTCTCTTGTTGCTGTCTGCAGTTTCCAGTCGCTCATGAATACAGCTGAAGATAATTGCTTTTTGACAGTCATTTATTCATCCCACTCTGTTACACACTAAAAGTTGGTGAAGTGCAACCGAGAGGTCAGATGCTTGTCCTTGTTTAATGTTTTCCCCTGAGCACTACTTCTCATTCACTCAGTTGCTCACAACCACACCTGGGAGTTTTCCAGTTCAATCACAGTCTTCTTCTGTTGTCTTTGGGCTGTTCCATTGAAGCAGTTAATTATTAAGCCATGCCGCGGGCACCTTGAGAGTAATTGTTTAGGAAAAAGAAAACTACTATCCCTCCACTCTACATAGAGTTGGCTTATATTTATTTTAAGAAAAATACACTTTTCAAATCAAATATGTGTGTAATGCTGAAACAACAGGAGGAGACACTTTCATAGTTTGTAACACATTTAAATAACATACTTAGTGGAACTTTATTGGTAATTAATGGGGCTGTTGTTCCCATATTGATTTCAAATGTGTTAGTTATGGATGCTTTTGGTAACTTCCATTTACAGGAAGGTGCACAAAGTAATATATCGCTTAAGTGAGTATAAATTTTACATGAAGTAATTATTAAAATATGTATAGACTATTAAGGTTATTTAAGAGACTAAATTAAAGATGGTTCAGTAATTCAAAAAAAGTTTATATATACAGGTGGTGTTGTGTTGCCAATCCAGGAAAAGGCTGCTGAGTATCGTCTAGACGAATCAGAGGTCTTATCAGATGTTTCCCTACTGACTGAAGGAGCAGTCGAGGGGAGGGGTGAAGAGAACAAGAGAGGAGGAGAGATTGAATTAAAGATATGTGATGGTGGTGGAGCGGGGGAGGGGGGGGTGATAAGCCCGAAACCATTAGATGAACTGAGACGCCTGAAGGGAGATTTAGACGAATACAGGACTTTGTTATGTTGAGTGTGGTCAGTCTGCTGTGAGTCAGGTTTACTACAGGCCATACATCAAGCACGTATATTTAGAAAGCAATGAATAGACCTCCAATACATAACTGCTTTCCCCAGCGTTAACGTATCACTACACCAACAGAAAAGCAACAGCATCGACCAAGAGCACAAGTGATAACTCACGACTGTTCAGTTTATGCAGTTTTAAACATTACCAAGAGTGTCACAGCAGTGTAATGCTGGTGTTGTCCCTCCTTTGTCTAATTTTAATGCTAAGCTAGGCTAAACACATGCTTCTTATATCCAGGTCTGTAATTAATTCACAGACACGAAATTGTCAACTTTCTCATTTCACTTTTAAAAAGACAGAAGATAAGCCTTTAAATGTCACCGGTAAATTAATGTTCCATGGTTTGTTATATTCCACTAATTATCAGCACTTGTGAAATAGACTGAAATATCTCAACTATCCAACTAATGGATGGATTGTTGGGAAAGGTTGTACAGTGTGGTTCTCAATGGATGAATTCCATTGACTTTGGCAATTACATAATATTTACAATTGCTATATAGGTCAGGGTTTAGTGTCTTGCTCAGGGACACATTGGTGGATGTGTCACAGTGGGAATCGAACCCTAGTCTCTCACACCAAAGGCATGTGTCTTATCCACTGTACCTCGGTGCGATCCCCTGTCTCTTCCTCCACTGCCACTGTGAGCTTCACGTTTGTGGTTTTGGGTGAAATGGCTTTTACTATTGGATGGATTGTCATGAGAGTTGGTTCAGACATTCTTATCACCCCTTAAAATGAATTCGTGTTGCTAGCACTCTAATGCGCTGAATTAAGATGGTGAACATGCAAAATCTTTCCTGCTTCACATCAGTATGACAGCGTGGCTTTAGATTTCTACCCAAACCAAGCCCCATAATAGACTAGTACCTGTCCAAACCTTCTCTTACCCAGTGATAAAACTGTACATCAGTGCCCAAAATAATAAACAAGATAAACAAGTGTACAAAAATATGTATGGATAGATGCTTGTAAATCTTTTGACCTGGGGGATAAGCAGCATTAAATCAGCCCAAAACTTCCCCGACTCTTAAAGTTAATTGCACATACAGGCAACGGGCTTATCATACAGTGCTATGTACTTGTCTAATTTTCTACAGTAGTATTAGGCATGATTTTTGCAAGCTATGAAAAGTTAGGCGTGCCTTTTTAATTTTGTGTTCTTCCAAATATACTGACTGATTAAAAAAAGTGTGGTGGAGCTTATATGATTTGTTGTGTCACCGTGCAGACATGCTACGAGTTCAAGATAATTAATGTTTCTTAGACAAGCTTTACCTGCCACATTACACTGTCGCCTTCTTTACCTTCTCTAATTCTCTCTCTGTGATCGAGAGTACATAATCCAGCATGGCAGGCATGGCAGGGCTGCTCCTTAGTTTACTTAAGCTTCTACAAAGCAGACATAAAGTGTTCAGCCATTCGTACAGTTACACCACATGCACACACTTCACACACTGTAAGAGTTAGAGTAAAGAGAGAAAGTGAAGGGCTTAATAAGAACAAAGGAGAAAGACAAAGAGAAGGTGTCAGAGATTGGAAAAGAGAGCAGTGTGGATGTGAGGACAGTTTACGTGTGAAAAGGTCTTTTGCACACGCTAGCCCTTTTAAGGTCATTTAAATAAAGTTGTCCATTCACCCTGAAATATAGAAATAGTACGAAACATGGCTACATCTCTTTTCCTTTAAAGCAGGCATTACTATTATAATCTTAAATGAGGTGGGACAGGCCGAGCCTCTTACTCTGCTTGGTTTTTATCGCCTCCTTTTCCATCCCGTATTCACCCATTCAGTAGAACTTAAAACAGTGATTGAGCATCATAAATCCACCCCAGAATGGTCCTACCATTGAGACTCTTGATCAAATCGCTATTTCATGCTTGCAGAGTTGTCAGATAGCATATATGCAGATCATTGACCTGTGTTGAGCGAGTTGGAGGCAAAAGAAAATTCTTCTGAAGATTTCGGTGGCACAGCCTCCAACTTTATTTTGTTCCCTGTCCACTGCAAAGCAAGAGAGCTATTTTTTAGATTTGTCCACCTGAGGCAGGTATTCTTGATTTGACATACCATGAGAGTGGGTCACAGTCCATCCATCCAGACTGGGGCCAAATGAAAGATAAGATATATTTATTGATCCGCAGAGGGTAAATTCAGGATGCTGCAGCACTCGACAGAAATACAGCGCAGGTAAACAAAGAAAGTAAAAAATGATATGATGTAAATATGAATAGAAGTAACTATACAATATAATTGTGTTGTGAAATATATATTATCGTACAGCAATACAACATCGATTTTAAGCTACTTTAAAGGGGGAAATTTGGGAATCAGTGTCTTTAAAATGTCAGGATGCCTAGGTCACAATCAGAATCTAAAATAGAATAATTTCATTCAGAAACAACACAGAGGAAGTCGGCCAGGATTCAGCAGAAATCTGTGAGCTGAAACAGAAACGTGCATCTGTGCAAAGAGTGTAAAGAGCAAATATCACATTAATGATCTGTAAAATAACCTGAAATATGAGATGGGAAAGCACAGTGGAGAGTGTCGGAGGAAATTGCATTATTGTAAACTCCTTCACCACTTGTAATGTAATCACCAAACTGGTTGATTGCTGGACATCCATCTTGACGGTAGCTGCCCTCTCCTCCCGCTCTTAGCTTCCACATGCTGTTCAGTCACGTTGGCTTGACTTCTATTCACCAGTATACAGAGGCTTTCAGCGAATCCTGATTACATGTTCTCTCCTTAGAAACCGGGCGGTTTGTTGGCTTTCTTCTTATGAACAGTAGTGATGGAAAAACTGGCTTGACACACAAATTTTTCATTGTAGCTCTTCTAACAGTGCACCAGTGCCATTTCTCTTCATTTCCAGCATTTATGGTCACGTGTTGTTTTTGTGCATGACTGCATGTGTGTGTATGTGCAAACATGCTACATGGTAGGTGTGCAATGGGTCACAAAAGTCACGGTTCAGATGGTACCAGGGTTTTTGTTTCACATATCGAATCCTATTTCAAATCAGCAAAAAAGAAGAAAAGCTTAGGGTTAAATAAATCTTAAAATGCGCTTTGGCTCTGATGTATCCGCGCCTTCATGTCTGTAGCATAGACTTTATAAAAGAAGTGGACGTAGTCACTGTGACCGTTTTGAAGCCTTGAGTTTTGCATTTTGGCGAACGACATCTTATTTTTTTGGAACCAGATGTGACCATATTTGGACGAAAGTGTGGCGCTAGCTAGCTTAGTTAGCAAGGTGCCCCTGCAATTCATTTTAACATTTTAACTTTTTAGTGGCATGCTAATTTTGGCTAGCTAAAAACAGGCTTAAAACAAAATGTACTTGCTGGAAAAATGAACCGTCAACTCCTAATAAGCTTTTTCAGCAGCGCTGGTTAAATGCACACAGAGAGGCGGATACAAGTCGCCTCTATCCTGATTGACAAGTTGCCATGGCAGCAACTTGTCAATCACTAGGTAGCCCTACCCTAAAGCCTCCCCTGCTTTCTGGTCTATTTTCCTCATAATTTACTAAATGAACATCATGCTGTGTTGAAGAACACTTGAAACCAGCAACTGAGACCATAAACTCATTAGGAAAGTGTTTACTGAGGTAATAAATCAGCTGAGAAGTAGAAACATTTTCTCATAGCCTTCTAGATAATCACACTTCTTCTTGCAAACAGTGGAGTCGCCCCCTGCTGGCTGTTAGAGAGAATGCAAGGTTAAGGCACTTCAGCATTGCCTTCACTTTTCAGACCCGGAGTTTCATGCTTGGTCTGCAGTCTCCACCATGTAGTCTCGCTCAGTGTCCCGCCCACAGCACTGCATCTGATTGGTTACACATCATGAGTAATAACATATCAGAGTGGAGCTGTGTGTCGAAAGGAAGGCATCAGATATATTACTGAAGCTGCAATAAACATCACAATCTGACGACCTGTCTGATGA